TGATCCAGGTCTGCTTTGCACCTAAAAATAACAAAACTGAGACATTTTCATTATTATCAACACACGTCTCTCTCTCCGGCCAGAAACACCAATTTATGTCATGTATTCACATTCATGAATGTAAGCATGTCTTCATTGCGTCTATGTATTTGTATTCATATTAATCTTGAGTGTAAGCTGATCTTCATTGCCTCTATGTGTTTTTGATTCAAACTGTCTCACTTCTGATTCTCTCCAAAAATAATTTCACATGTAACAATTTGTGTGTGTGTGTTTTCTATTCATTCATGTAATTATTATCTCTCTCTCTGTTTTTTTTTTTTTTTAATTTACCTTTCTGTTATGATGCTCTGGACATTTATAAACCTCCACAAGTTCAGCCTCCATTTTCAATCCAGTTTGGCCTTCAAATCTCCAGCAAACACAGTCCCAACTCAGCTGTTTCTTCTTCTCTGTTTCTTCTTTGTTGATCTTTTCAGTCTTTTCTTTTAGGTTAACTCCCAGCATGGCAAATATCCCATCCAGTGCCTTCAAACAGTCGTGTCACTGGTTAAGTTCCCAGCTTATAATTCAAAGCTCATGTTCCATTAGTGGTATTCATACATGCTGCTGCTTGACCCTTCAGTGTTTTAGGTCAGTTGCACTGTCTTTTGGCCTGCTGTTAACTCTTCAAGTCCACGATGTTCTGTCTGTCTTCATCAGGAGATCGACTGTCCTTTAAGCTTCTTCTCAGGCTAAGGACATAATGAGAGGTCAAGCTGTCAAATTTTAAGCCAAAGGCTGGCCTGTTTGTCGTCCCAATTCTGTTAATCTATCATTTTGCCGCTGTACTCATGTTTTGAGGTTGAGTAAGTCCATGGGCACCTGTATTACAGTTTTTCTCAGTTGTTTTGGTGCATTTCTCACAACAGAATTAAACTTTGCACAATAGTTAGTTCAACCTCCACAACATGTAGTCGTTTTGGCACAACCTTGTGGCGGTTTCATGTTCATTTCGTCCAATGGCAAATGCCTTTGGACATGAAGCAGTTGAGTAAGTACAAATATCTAAAGAATGGTCACTTTTGACTTGCTATTCATCACTATCTCCTTGCT